TCACTCCCAGCCTTTCCACTAATGTACCTATGTACACGTCTTCAAGCTTCAAAGGTTTCTTGGCATCAAAAATCTGCACCATTTTCAGGACAAGGTCTGATGATAGCACGTAGCCCACGCCGCCACAAAAGTCAGGATATATGTTTTTATTGTACTCTTCCACGGACACTCCATTCCTTCCTTGCCGAAGAGGTACCACTTTTCGCCTCACGTATCCGAGAAACAGCTTAGTTTTGGGTGTGTCGGGGTTTCCTAGATAGTCCATCAGTCTGTAAGGATTGACAAAAACGTCGTCGTCCGTTTTCATTACAAACTGAAAGTCGCAATATTTTGCCGCCCATTCCAGACCCATTTGCGTCTTCAGTGTTAGATTTTGATAAGTGTCTCTCTGTGCTCCTCGTATTAAGTCATTGCACATTAGGTTCTCAGCTTTTAAATATTCCTCCTGTGTACTGTCTTTCGCTTGACCGATAAGAAACATTGTTTTCCATCTTATGTTCATTGATGGATCGCTTCCCCACGTTTTCCGAATAACGTTCCTTCTACCAATATTGTCCGGAGCTGTAACCACCAAAATCAGAAGGAATAATTTTTGAGTGCATCGCATACGGGATGTTAAATGTGTTCGGTGTGGAAGGGTGCCTTCTGCAACTGTTGAGAATGGAACTTTTGGAGCAGGGCCAAGCGACTCTTGCGGTGTACCAGGTGAACTGGCGCAATTATACAAGTCGCTCTTTTGTAAAAAGGAAATGATGATTGCCACGGTGAAAATGACAGAAATCAGCAATGCAATGAAAAGCCTTGACGTTCGTGCATGCACCAGCAACAACATTCTGACTTGCTATAAGTAGACTGTAAGGTTATATCCCAGCTTCAAATTTAATTCCAGTGTTTTTAGGGTTGTTTTGTCGCGAGTGCCGGATTTCGAAGGTTAGCTCAGTGAAAATCCTCGATCTTAGTTGTGATTAATGACTGACTAAATGTGCCTTTTTGACAGGTGTTTTTACGAGTAATTATAGCGATTTTGAGCCAATCAGATTCTAGAAGAAATTTCATGTCAGACCAATCATTTTAGATTCTGCTCAAGCAAGACGGCAATCCTTCTTGAAAATGTCACAGGTTTTTTTCAAAGCGCGTGCATGCAAGCAATAATATAAGACACTAAAACATTCCGCGACTGTATGCCCAGAGAACATTAGTTCCTCTTGTTCAAGAAGTGCAGCGAAGNTCAATTTTTACTCTGTACATTACAGCTTAATTTTAATATTGTGGATGACGTTTTTGCCCTTTGTTTGCATGCAATGTTGGCTTTGTTTATTCTTTGTGAACCTTTTCAATATTCTTTGATGGATATTTTAGTCGCTGTTGTTTGAGCCGTTCTAAGCTTTCTTTATTTGACACAGCTACCATGCCCTGTAAAATTTATGGCTAAATATTCATTTCCCAGATGCAATTTATTGGCTATTTTGAAAGAGCATTTTAGACTTTTTGATACAGTATGTGTTAACACATAACCATTCGACGCTTTACAGCCAAAACCATTGTTACTGGCTATGTATATGAAACCAAGGTTACAAGCAACTTCATTTTACAGACAGATTACAGTTCAAGGACATCATTCCAAATTTCATTGACTCTTGATTATTCAATTTGGCGCAGTTTGCCAATTTTACAAATAGTTCCGAAAGAGGTTTCCGTTACTGGGCAACTTTAACGAAACTTGTCAATATATGATCTCAGTCGGTAAAGTAAAGAAAAAGAAAGAGCGACAATGAAACGAAATTTAAAACGAATAAGAAACCTGATGGCGAATGAATCACTGCGAAGCAGTAAACGAAACGCAAGGAGGTTTTCGGCAATAATATAGCAGCAAAGAAAGTCTCGCAACGCGAAGGGTTTCACAGTTCAGCTGTGGTGCAGAATTGGAGGCATACAAGTTTCACCTAATTCATACACAATACGAGAACAAGCGTAATTCATTACTGGGTGATGAAAAAGGCTAAATTTTAATTATGAAATCTGACAGTTGTTCAGTCGCAGCTGAGCAATAAGTTACTAGGGGTAAGAATTGTTTATATTCCGGCCTCCGTTGCTATACTAAACTTTTCGAGAAATTTCAATCCCATAGTTTAGAATCGTTGGCACCATGGCGCGACCCGCAGTATATATCATCAGATGCTTAAGGCACTTTGGGATTTTTGAGTACCCTGCGTGACAGAGTTTCCCTTTTTTGTTTGGTGAGAGACGAGAAGGAACGCAACTGTTCGCTTTCCTATCGTGCATGCGCATGCGCGAACTACGTCAGCATGTCGCATGTGTCGTACTTTGTTATGCAAAACGCTTGCACCCAATCAATTTTTTTTTGTATTTTTCGGCGAATTACTTCAATTGCGACCTTTTCTTCCGATTATTTGTTAGAGAAACTACAGAAATCTCGTGAAGTTCTACGATGAACTAATCCAAACTCATTGCAAGCCTCGCAAAGTCATTAGAATAATAAATGAAAACCTGCCTATATATCAACCCTCGCACCATGCTTATTTGAAAGGGAAAACAATGCTTACTTACAACACTAACTCTAGTTACATTATATTGCTCTAATTATTTACACCATTTAAATTACAATATCTAAACGACTTACACT